TGATTCTGGTTGCAAACTGAGTCAAATGAGAACCAAATCAAATTCAGTGGTTAAAAAAAAAAAATTCAGTGGTTAAATTCTAGCACTCGGGAGGCTGAGGTAGGACAATTACTGCAAGTTGGAGACCAGCCTGGGCTGCACAGTGACACCCTTTCTCTAGAAGACAGACAAACCAAAAGTCAGTGGTTAGGTTCAGTGTTGGCCTTATGGGGAAATGTGAAAGAATGCTGTCTTTATGTGTTCATGTAACTTCAGCTTTGAGCACCTAGCCTGGCGTACAGCAGATGCACAAGGACTGTGAAATGAATCAGAGGAATCCAGAGATGTTGGTTGACAGTGAATTAGAGGATAAAATACATCATATGGCTTTAGCAAATGATTTTAATCCAAAAGAAAGTAAATAAAGGTATTTAAGGCTGGGGAAGCAGCACCAAACTGGTTATTTAAAGTGAGTATAGCTGGGCGTGGTGGCGCATGCCTGTAATCCCAGCACTTGGGAGGCTGAGGCAGGAGGATTGCCAAGAGTTGGAAGCCAGCCTGGGCTGACATAGTGAGTTCAAGGCAGGCCTGCACTTCACAGCAAGACCCTGTCTCCCAAAAAATGTAAATATGTAGGATGGGCTGGGTAGCAGAGAGTAGTACTGTAAACCACAAGTTGAGAAAATCTAAAATGAAAAATCACATTGTTCCAACTTTTCGGCTCCGGTATCTGTAGTAATAGAAGAGAGTGGATGATAGCCACCTGGGGTGGAAGCCTCTTGGCCTCCAGTACAAGATGCCTGTGAATGTTTTGAACCTGTCTGTGTTTATCCTTAGAATTTCGTGAAAATGTTGCATTTAATTTTATTATCTGTGTGTTTGCTTTAGCATGAAAATACTTTTTTCCTTCCTCTCTTCATCCTCTGGTAAAATACTGTAGGTGCCACCAGAGCAGATGCCATTTATCCTCGGCTGCTGGCACATGCTGGCACGCCCAGTTCTGGGGGGCATGGCATGGCATTGTAGCGTGACATGGCTGCATACCGACTTCGCGCACTTTGGGGGTTGTCCACTGAGGGGTGTTATGCTGTGGCGCCTCGGAGGGCGAGCTCATTCTGTTCGGACTCACCAGGCCATTCCTGGGAGGCTGCAGTCAGTTGAAAGCACCTCATGAGCTGGGTACTGGGGACCAGCTGGAGAGAGTTCACAGAAGACCCGCGAGGATGGTTAAGAGGCTGGAGGAGTTGACTGATGAAGAAAGATGTATAAATGAAAACCTTATAACTTGGCTGAACCCCAACAGCGGAAATATACTACTATATAAATATTTTAAGACTGTAAACTTGATAGGGAAGGGTAGTACATTATGGTGGGACTTTGCGAAGGAGCGAGTAAACAAAGGGTGAAATAAAATATCTGATGGCACACTTTATTTTTGGTAACCTCAAACCTTTGGATCTTTTACTAACTGAATAATTTGGTGTTTTTAATTTGATGTTCCTGGACTCACGACTGGCCCTCAGTGCAGCGAATGCGGGAAGCTCCATTTGGAAGCAGACTCCTTCCTTATGGTCCTGTCTTGTTCTGTGGGACTAGCTCTGTGTGTGCTAGAACTCTGAAGAGGACTTTGACATCATTTGAAAATAGCACTTGAAGAATAGAGACGGACTGAATCATGTATATGCATCACCATAATTTTAAGAACCAAGACACAATATTTTAACCTTGAGGTATAGTATATGAAATACATTCTTTGGAAAATAATTGCGTAAAATTCCTAGTTGGCGGGCTGGAGAGATGGCTCAGTGGTCTAAAGCACCTACTTGGAACAAGCTTGGCAAAGCACAGGGACCGCGGTTCGATCCTCCAGCACCACATGCCAGCCAGACCCGCCCCCTGGTGGGCTGAGCTGGCCACACACACACACACACACACAATGAATAAATAAATAAGGGGCTGGAGAGATGGCTCAGTGGTCTAAAGCACCTACTTGGAACAAGCTTGGCAAAGCACAGGGACCGCGGTTCGATCCTCCAGCACCACATGCCAGCCAGACCCGCCCCCTGGTGGGCTGAGCTGGCCACACACACAATAAATAAATGTAATAAATAAAAATAAATAAATATTTAAAAAAATAAATAAATAAATAAATTTAAAAAAAAAATTCCTAGTTGGCGTATGAGTGTAGACATGACATTTTTAAATGAGAATTGAAATCAAATATTTGCATAATTTTGTTTTGTAGTTCTTTTCCTGAAAGGATATAGTAGAATGGGAAGAAAATTATTTTTATAGCTTCTTTGATTTATAGAAATTCATTTATACTTATGAAAGTCAGTTATAGAGCTGTAAGACTGAGACCTCTGCCCCAAGCTTGGTAAGCTCTTTGCTCTGCTGCTGCAGTGCCAGGCAGCGCCAGGCAAGGTGCCAATGAGTGAATGTGGCTATCCTCACAGAAACAAGGGGCTTGGCCTAGACATAGGCAGTGTTAGGCTCCTTCCAGGCTGATTGCCCTGGAATCTCTAGGCTGTGCCTCTGAAAGTGTAAAATGTGTAGAATCCCTGAGGATCTCATGAGACTACATCATCTGAGATGACAGAGGTGAATACTGTGCTCGCCACGGGATGACGGAGGTGGGCAGAGCCTGTCAGTATCTCCAGGAAGCTGTGATCTGTTAGGAGAAACTGCTGTATGTGAAGTAATGAGGTGCAGACTGGCAGATGCTGTAGGAGAGCATCTTCAACACGAGCGTCTCAGAAAGAAGTGGTGGACTCTTGCCTGGCCTGGATCGAGTCCTCAGAAAAGCTTGGGATCTGGACCAGAGAGGGGTCAGTGCTTGAGTTAAATTTTGAAGCCACTAGTGTCATGATGTATTGGGTTAGGCACGGCAGTTCATGGTGGGGACAGTAAAGAGTATGTTACAGCTAGGAGTTACTTGATTTACTGATCACAATATTGGAGACCCACACTAAAACTACGGTGAATAGAAAGAGAGTTCGGTACATTTTATTATCTTAATTTCTTTATACTATTTATTTGGAAAAAGATAACTTGCTGAAAGTCTTTCAGAAGAGTAGGTCCTTAAAAAGTATATAAACTTATTACATGTTCTTGCACCATTAAGCATTTGGAAGACACCAAAGTAGAATATAAAAATTATAATTCATTCCAAGAGATGACCCCTATTTTAACATTCTTATGCTTTTTTTCTTTCAGACTTCTGTTTTGTTTTGGGTTTGGTGGTGATAGTTCTGGGAATTGAACCCGGGGTGTCTGCACTGAGCTACATTGCTGACCTATTTTAATTTAATTTTGAGATGGGGTCTTGCTGAATTGCCTAGGCTGAGCTCACGCTCGTGGTCTTCCAGTGGCAGGTGCGCAGAGTGCTGTGGTTGCAGGCATGTGCCACCACAGCCAGCTTTCAGCCTTCTGCATCATGCTAGGTCTCTAAAATTGGGCAGATACTAAATATGCCTTGATTTTTATTTAGCATGTTATTTGTAAGCATTTCCAAGTGTGGTTGTTTCTCAAAAGTGTTTAACTATCTTTATGTGACATTCTTTTTTTAAATTTGGTACAGGGTCTCTCTTATTATACAGCTCAGACTCACAGTGATCCTCCTGTTTTCAACCTCCCCAGTGCTGGGATTACAGGCACGCACCACCACGTCTGGTCTCAGTGGCAGGCTCAGGGTGCCGGGGTGCGGGGGGGCTGGTGCAGCATGTGGTGCTCGGGACCGAACCCTGGTACCTGCGCTTGCCTAAACATGCGCTTCACCTGCTGAGCTATCTCACCGGCCCCTTATGTGACATTCTATCATAGGCATTCTCTCGGTTTGAGAGTTACAAACTGACTTCATAACACTCGGCGACTTTATTTTGAAAGCGCTCAGATCACTGCCTCCACTTCAAGTGGCAGGTTTACTGTCTTAAAGGTATTATCAGACTTGTTCAGCCACATCTTAGAAATGCACACATGAACACGAAAGAAGCAGACTGCACAGAGTGATAGGGAGGATTGCTTGCCTGATTATCCTTTTTTTTTTTTTTTTTTCTAATGTATTCAGTACAGAGTCTAGAGGGTCTCACTACACAGATCGGACTTGTAGTGATTCTCCTGTTTTCAGCCTTCCAAGTGCTGGGATTACAGGCACATGCCACCACACCTAGTCTCTATTGTCATTTCAGTATGCCCCTGGGGGTGGGGCCCACACAGCATGCTGGGTGTCAAGCCCCAGTCCCTGCATCTGCCAAAGCGGGTGCTTTATTTAGTCTGCTGAGCTATCTGGCTTGATTATCTTTTGAGGCTCACTCTGTAATCTTCTGCCTCTTGAGTGCTGAGATTGCAGGCATGAGCTACCACACCAGCTTTGATAGGCTTTAAAGCTCTTTGGTGACTTTTCTAGCTGAGCATTATCGTAAGCCTTTTTCTTTTTTAAATTTATTTATTTATTTATGTGTGTGTGTGTGGTCAGCTCAGCCCACCAGGGGGCGGGCTGGCTGGCATGTGGTGCTGGGGGATTGAACCGCGGTCCCTGTGCTTTGCTGTGCTTTGCTAAGCTTGTTCTAAGTGGGTGCTTTAGACCACTGAGCCATCTCACCAGCCCCAATAAGCCTTTTTCTTGACATGTGTGGCTTTCTGAAGTCTGTGTCTGCCGGAACTTTTGTTTGATTTCCCTTCATGTGGTTCCTAGGCCCTGTACTCCAGCCCCATTAAACTGAAACTGGGCTTGAGGTTGTGGTGAATCTCTAAAAACCGCTGCTCTGGTTTGTATCTCCCACAGGCTAGCGGCAGCTAAAGTGCTAGAGCCTCCTTCTGGGGAGTGACACAGAGGAAGTGAGGTTGCCAGCAAGCTCCCATTGGGTTGGTGTGACCTCAGGACGTAGTGGGGCTCCACTAGGAGTGCTAGGTCAGGTGCCAGCCTCAGTAGGGCTTCCCCCGCCTGTTTGGCCTCCTCATTGTGTTTTGAGGGATCGCTTTCAGGAATAAAGATCTATTGTACTTTTCCTTTTGTCTTTTAGGGTAGGATGCTGGGACACCAGATCAGACGAGGCATTCAGCAGCTCATTGCACTCTGCACCAGACAAATCCAGTAATGACGTGCTTCTGGGTTCTGTTTCTCCACCCTGCAATTCATGCAGTTCTTTTGAGAAACACTGACCCTCTGCTTACTGTCCCACATGTCCTCAATGAAGGTCTGATGGACAAACCATTTCTTGTGACTTTGTGGGGGTTTTCTTCATGTGGAAGTCGGAAGACAAAGTGAAAAGGGCCGAACTTTACCATTTTGGTGAATAACTTAGTTCTCAGAACATGGGCCCTCGTTTAAAGGTAAGCTGTGTTAAGAGCAGGTTATTCGGGTGTAGAACACGGATCCATGGAGTATTCTCAGTTCCTAAGGCTCTTCAGCAGGAGATAGCTGTTGAAACACAGGTTGCGCTGGGCTTAGTGGTGCATGCTTATAGTGATTCTCCTGTTTTCAGCCTCGGAAGCCTGAAGCAGGGGGATTGCCACAAGTTTGAGGCCAGCCTGGACTACCTAGTAAGTTCAAGACTAGTCTGAACTACATAGCAAGACCCTGTCCTGTCTCAGAAAGAAGGGAGGGAGGGAGGGAGGGAGGGAGGGAAAGGAAGGAGGGAGGAAAGAAGGGAGAAGGGGAAAGGGGAGGGAAGGGAAGGGCAGGAAGTAGAATATAAAGAAATCCTGCGCTTTTCAGAAATGACTTTCATAACTGATTTTCAGTGTTGGGGGTTAAAATTTATATGATTTGGTAATTATAAACTGTATTCCAGAAAAGCAGAAGATTTTAAAGTATGTACATTAGTCATCTTTTCAACATTCCCTCATCATAGGTATTTTCAAATATTTCCCCCTTGTATGGATAATGCGTGCCAGAGTGCTGGTATTAAGCCGTTTGTTTGCCCAGTATCCTGCGGCGAGCCAGTGCTGTCTCTGCAGTAGATAACCCGAGCTGCAGTCCACTGTTCATTGCCATGCTTAATTTTTATTTTGAGAGATAAGAGCCATGAAAGCTTGTCTTTCTAATTTTAGCCTCACCTTTATGATCCTTACAGTTAGATTGGGTGAGTTCTTTATACTTTTATCTGTTTTCGTTAATCTGTTCTCCCACATACTTGGCTCCCCAGTACTTCATTCTGTTTCATGGGTTGGCATAGTGGGGAGGAGAGAAAGAGCAAAATGGGCTTGACTCTTAGCTGTCACTCATCCAGCTAGGAGATGATCAGAAACTTTTCTGAGTCCAGCCTTTTTTTAGTGTATAAAATGAGAGTGATGCTTGTCTTGGTAAATTGTTTTGGTGACAGTTATACTACCTAAGCTAACATGTGTAAAGTGCTCAAGGAAGTATTTAGCCTTTAAGTGATTCAAAAAGGAGTAGAGAGTAATTTATTACGATACTCTAGTGGCTTGGAGTATCAAAATTTGCTTAATTGTGTAAGGGCAAGAACACTATAAATTTTTTTGTTTTTTTCCTGCGGAACCGGGGATTGAACTCAGGCCCTTGCCCTTGCCAGGGAAGCACTTATTCTATTGAGCCATTTCCCCGGCCCCTAACATTTTTATTTATTTATTTTTGTGGCCTGCTCAGCCCACCCAGGGGGCAGGGTTAGGACCCCATGTGGTGCTGGGGATTGAACCATGGGCCCTGCATGCTTGCCTAAGCTTGCCTAGGCAGGTGCTTTAGACAGCCGAGCTATCTCGCCAGCCCACAGGAGCATTATAGAGGTGAACTTGAAAACAAAATATAGTACTCATAAATAAATTATACGCCTGGCAAGTGCAAGGTCCTGAGTTCAATCCCTGGTTCCACCAAAAAAAAGAAAATAAATAAATAAAAAATTATATGAGAGCCAGCCAGATAGCTCAGCAATTTAAAGCGCCTGTTTAGGCAGACGGAGGGATCCAGATTCAATCTATCACGCCTTGCTGGCCCTGCCCCTGTGACATGCTGAGATGGCGATTGAGACTGGGTATGGTGGCATGCACCTATAATCACAGTACTTGGGAGGCTGAAAACAGGAGAATCACTACAAATCCCATCAGTGTACTAAGCTCCAATAGAGCCTGTACCAAAAACAAAAAAAAAAAAAAAAAAAAATAGAATAAATTATATGAAGTAATAGGGTAGAGGCTTAACAAACTCCTGAATGCCTCAGTTAGAGTTTGGAAGAATTCCAGTATAATTTTATGCAGCAGAAAATGGACAGTCCTGTAGAGATGTTGAAGAAAAGCATGAGAACTCTTGACCCCACTGGTAGGCCTGTCATACCTACTTGTTAAACTGATTTAAATAGGCAATTTTTGGTGTAAAGAGTTTATTTTATTAGGGTTGGCCAAATAGCTCAGTGGATTAAAATGCCTGCAAGAAGGCACAGGGGCCAGAGGTTTGATCCTCAGGCCTGCCATGCTGGCGCTGCCACTGGGGTACGCTGAGACCAGCAATTGAGACTAGGCATGGTGGTCTATGCCTGTAATCCCAGGTCTTAGGAGGCTGTAAACAGGCGGATCATTCCAAGTCGGATGTAGTGAGACCCTGAACACCCTGTAGACCCTTCCCTAAACTACAAAAAAAAGTTTATTTATTTATTTATTTTTATGTATTTGTTACAAAGTCTCATCAAACTCATAGTGATCCTCCTCTTTTCAGTCTCCCTAGTGCTGCAATTACAGGTGTGCACCACCATGCCTGGTCTCTGTGGCTGGCTCATTGCACCTCAGGGCAAGACTGGCATGGCATGTCGTGCCAGGGATCAGACTTCTGTCCGTGCACTTGCCTAGGCAGGTGCTTAGTCTGCTGAGCTATCTCGCTGGCCCTGGTGTAGAGTTTAAATGAATATACTAGCTTAAGTAAACACAGTTCAGATTTAAAAAGTCTTTTAAAAGCATATTTGGGGGTATAGCTCGGTAATAGAGTGCTTGCCCAATATGTACGGCCCTAGCCTCAATCCCTAGCACCGCAAAAATAAAAACTCCAAACTGTATCTGAAAGGAAAGTCCTATCTTTGAATTTCCTCATCCTTAGCATTCTGGAAAAATCAAGAACGGTAATATGACCATATCCACTCAGCAGATACTCATATTTATTTCAATTATGGTATGCAGTCATGTTGGATGCATTAGAAGATTTTTATAACCAGTCTTTGCTTCTTGTTACTCATATTTCTGAAATGCAAAATAAACAAGACTAACAATACAAGTATTTTAAGATAAATGCAAACAAAGTTGAGTGAAAATTCAGAGGGAAGGATTTCTAAATAGAGGAGATGGGATAGGATTTTCCCTAGACTTTAAGATCAAAAGCTATTCATTGAGAGTGAGCAGAGTGGGATATTAAAGGCAGAAGATATGAGTTGTGAAAAGGCACAGAGACAGGATATTTCTAGCCTTACATCTAAAAATGTAAAAGAGTTTGGGTGGATATAGCTCAGTGGCACAGCACCTGCCTGTTGAGCATGAGCGTAGGTCTTGAGTTTGATTCCCAGCACCAAAAAAAACAAAAAAACCGTAAAGCTTCTCATTTGAGTAGATTATAGAATGAATAGTGACATAATAATAGTTGTAGGAAATGAGAATATTACAGTGTGGAGGTCACAGGAGAGATGGTAGAAAGAACTTCCAATGTTGTCTATAAGGATAGAAAATACATACAACCAAAAAAAGGAAAGAAAATGCTCACACAAGAGAGGGATATCTATAATAAGTTATTTGAATGACAAAAAAAAAAAAAAGGAGAGGCTATGATATATTCTGGAGGAAGAGAGAAAAGTGTAGAGAAAGGCAAGTTCAGAATGTGACCTTGGGAAAACTTAAGGTAGGGGTGTATTGTTGAATTTTGAGTAGTTACAGAGCAGTGGGAGTTTTGTAAAGGTCAAATTAGTGAGGGAAAAATGGATAGAGCTAACGTTTAGTTATGAAGAGCTTTTGAGAAAAAAGCAGAACCAGAAGAGACCTAGACTAGTAAAGTAAATTCTAGGCAACAAAGGCAAGGCAGGGGACATCATAATCCTTGACTTGAAAATATATTATGAAGGTACTGTGATAAAAACAGCATGGTACCTGCAAAAAAGCAGACCTGAAGTTAAGTGGAAGAGTAGAAGATGCAGACACCACCTCAGACATACTCAGCCACCTTGTCTTTGACAAAGGTGCCAAACACATTCACTGTACAAAAAAATAGCCTCTTTAATAATACATGATACTGGAAAAATTGGCTCTGCACACGCTGAAGATTAAAACTGGACCCAAATGTTTTACTATGGACTAAACAAAATTCAAAGTGGATATTAAAGTGGATATCTAAATATTAAGGGGGCCTGCCCTTTAGCTCAGTTGTTTAAGTGCCTGCTTCAACAAAGCAGTCAGGCCCAAGATACTCTGATTCAAACCCAGTTTCTCACAGGAAACCAGAAACATCCTCAAGGCATCTTCAGGATGAAAAAAAAAAAAAAAAAATCCTAAATATTGAAACATTAAATCTGCTGGAAGATAGAATAAGTACAACTCAAATAAATATATAAAAACAATTCAAGAGATCATTGGTCATTCAAGAGATGCAAATTGAAACAACACTGAGACTACATCTCACCCCAGAAAGAATGGCTATTGTCAAGAAAACAAGAAGGGGCTGGGGAGATGGCTCAGTGGAATAAGGCTTCCCTGGCAAGTGCAAGGGCCTGAGTTTAATCCCTGGTTCCCCCAAAAAAAAAAAAAAAAAAAA